CAATTTGTACTAACCATAAGTGAGTTAGATTTATATTTTTGTTTGCTTATTGAATTTCTACCTTTTGTTCTTGGTTAGCTTTCTTTCTTTTTGGGTTTCCTTTTTTTTTCCCTTCACCGTGATGGTTAATTTTATATGTATACACTTGGCGACGCTATGGTGCCCAGTTGTTTGGTCAATCGTCAGTCTAGGTGTTACTGTGAAGGTATTTTTTTAGTTTTGATAAAAGTTTAAATTGGTAGACTTTGAGTTCTGCAGATGACACTTCAGAATGCAGATGTGCTTCATCTAATTAGTTTAAGGGTTTTTGATCAAAGACTGACGTCACCCAAAGAACTGATTCATCCCTCCAGACAACCACATCGAAATTCTGCCTGAGTTTCCCACCTTTGCACTTAAGACTCCAGCCTTAACTCTTGCCCGAATCTCCAGGCTGCCAGCCTGCCTCTCGGGTTTCTGTCCTGCCTGCCCCCACAATAGCTTAAACCAAGGAAAATCATATGTGTGCGTGTGTATACATACATACAGATATATGTATACACACACAAAGACACACTCACACACACACACACACATGACCACAGAAAGAGAAATTCATTATTCATATTCTCATTCGTATTCATAGTGAATTATCATCTGTCTGTTTAGGATTCTATTTTGTTNCCCCCCCCCACTGCCTTGTTTTTTTATCAAGAGATCAGAAAAAATAAAAATTTGCATATTTATTTCAATATAAACTAATTTAATTAATTTCATAATTCTACTCTATGTATATTTTTAGTTCCCGTCTTTAGTTATGTTTTATTTACTCTCATATTGACCTTATTATCCATATAATTAAATATTTATAAGAAATATAAAAACAACATAAGTCATATAGCAATGGCATTTCAAAGTTTTTATTAGCATTTATAAAAATATTTGCAAATTAATCTGAAGGAAAAGGAGAGTGGTCCTATTCTGCTCCGGTATTATCATGTTCTAGAATGCACACAGACGTGAATCAGACGTTCTGGTATTTTCCTATGGCTTTCCCATGGAATAAAAGGATTATCCTGCATATGTCACTGGAACTTTGGATATTTAAGTATTGGCAACATAAGGCATCATGTGAAGCATAAATATTCTGTTTTTACCTGTAATGAAGCTCTGTCTCGACTGCCTCTGGTGCTTCTTAACAAGAGATGGTAAAAACAAATTATAGACTTGTTTTCACCCTTTGAAACTCTTCCTGAGGACATGCAAGCAATTTGTTGATCATCCCTGAAGCATTTGGAAACTTAACAAGAATGCAGGGAGTGTTTATTAATTGCCCAGAACAATTTGTACTAACCATAAGTGAGTTAGATTTATATTTTTGTTTGCTTATTGAATTTCTACNCACACAAACACACACTCACACACACACACACACACATGACCACAGAAAGAGAAATTCATTACTCATATTCTCATTCGTATTCATAGTGAATTATCATCTTTCTGTTTAGGATTCTATTTTGTTGTATTTGCCTTTATTGCATTTCAATATTTCTTGTTTTCCATAATGTCCCATACCCACTTCTATTATTGTTGCCCTCCTGGGTACATATTCAACTGTGCTTTATATAAGGCCTGCATTACTAATACATCTGACTAAAATGCATGTTTATTGGCATTGTTTTACTATACATAAGTTATTGTGCTGTAAATTTACTGTTGAATTATCAGTCACATTATGTCTGATGTAGCCAGGCTGTGACTTTGTGGGTTGTGTTTTTCTAGTATTGCCTTTTTGGTTTCTCTTTGTTCTTATTTGTTGGCATGGTTAGTAATTAAGTAAATTAATTGTGATAGCACTGAATATAAGAAACTGTGCATATGGAAAATGTCAAATTTGACAAGTTTTAACATACATACGCATCTGTAAAACAATAAAAAACACATAATTAA